ACAGGCTGACGCTCTATCCACTGAGCCAAACCGGCTTTGGCCCATAGCTGTTTCTTTTTTTTTTTTAATATATATTTTATTGATTTTGTACAGAGAGGAAGGGAGAGAGATAGAGAGTTAGAAACATCAATGAGAGAGAGTCATCAATCAGCTGCCTCTTGCACACTCCCTACTGGGGATGTGCCCGCAACCAAGGTACATGCCCTGGACCGGAATCGAACCCGGGACCTTTCAGTCCCCAAGCCAACGCCCTATCTATTGAGCCAAACCGGTCTCGGCCATAGCTGTTTATTACTGCAACCCCATAGAAGCCAGATTCTTAATTGTGAAGCTTGGATTGCTGTTTTATTTAGATTGCAACAGACTTGCTGGTTGGCTTTTGTATTAAGATAAATACCAAAAGCAAAGATAGTCTGTGAGCATCACCCTATGAAAAGATCTACATCTACTACATCAGTTAGGACCCTAACAATCTTTACTCACTAAACAGATATTGCGTGTCCCAGTGCTAGCTAGGGATAGAGCAATCAACAGACAAAAATCCATGGAACTTACCTTCCAATAGGAAAACAGAAAACAAAGTTTAGTACGTGAACTACAATACTTTAGATGGTGGTGAGTGCAATGGAGAAAAATACAGCAGGGATGAGGGTTGGGCATGGGGACTGCAATTAAAATTGAGTGGTCAAAGAACACCTTATTGAAAAGGTTATGTTTAAATAAAGGTTTGGGAGAGAAAAATGGGTCAGTCATGAAGTTACCTTGGTAACAGTCATTAAGATAGAATGGCACATGCAAAGCCTTGAGTAGAAATATGCCCAGTGAGTTTGAGGAACAGCATTGGGGGCAAGCCCCAGGCCAAGCATGGAGGAGGGAGCAGGAGAGGAAGTGGGAAGGGAAGCAGGGGCCAGGTCATACGAGGCCTCTCTCCTCATAGTAAGGATTCAGCTTCTATTCTGGATGAGACGGGAGCTTCAAGAGGCTTTGAACAGAGAAGTAAGATGATCCAACTTCCTTTTAACAGAATTGCTTTGATTGAAGGGGTCAGGGCAGAAACAAGTGATACTGCCTGTAGACCCAAGCCAGAGGGTTCCCTGCCCTATGCTCCATGCTTGAGAAAGTCCTGCAAAAAACAAACTGACAACATGTAAATTTATGATGATACCCAAAGCACCTTTATTAGAAATTGGGCTCAATTCTGCTACAGCACAGCCTGCAGTCTAACCAGGTCTCTGATGATTAGCATCTTCCAGGCCCCAGAGAAGCTCTTCTCCAGGCCTCCTGCGCTGTGAGCATCAAACAGAAGGTGATTGCCTCCAAATGCCATCACAACCAGTGAGCTGTGCTGCTGCAAACGTGGCAGATAGACACTGCTCTGGAGTGTGGGGAGGATTTGAACAATGGATGTGCTTAACTAAGAGACGTACAACAGAACTTATCTACCTCCCCTTGGAGAGCATACATGCCATAGATTACAAAGCATTACATCTTAGCTGTGCTGAGCATTCATGTTCATGCTTTACGTTATGTTCTACTTCATCATTCTTGAGATACTCATGAATTGCCCAGTGCTGGCAATAGTTACAGACTTAATGGCTAAACATATTAAACAATTTGTATCTTTCTAAAATTTGTACTTATGCAGGATAAATTTGTATTTATCCTAATTGATCTAGATTTTAGAATGTTGTTTTAAGAGGTGATGAAATGACAATATATGTGATTATAGTTTGTATAATGATATTTAAATATTTTGCAATATTGTTTACAATAGTGATAATATATCCTATGCAACCCAAATGACAATATTTGAACATGATATGTAAAATTCATGATTCATTTCCAAACCCGATTGCTAATTTAGAAGAGCAATTTCTCCAAATTGAAATTAAATTTTAAAGCTCAATGTTCAAATACAATGATTCAACAAGTGTGGTCTAATTTGAAAAAATACTGTCAATAGAATATAAACTATGTAGAAATTTTAACTATGAAAACATAGTATTTTTCTGAAATTAACTTTTAAAAATAACACCTATAGGATAAATATCTAATAATTCATGAATATCTTCCTTTTATTACTCATCCAAACATCACCTGCCTATTAATAGAACTCTGACATGCACAATACCAATTCAGTCGTCTTTGATATTTTGTTTATTGTCAGTCATACAAAAAGTAGATTTTTTTATTTTTTCAGTATGAAAGCAGACATTAATGTAGGAGGTTAGAAAAATATTTTAAATAGATATTTGTTAACTTGATTCATAAATTTAAAAAATTTAAATATATGTAATGTTGGATCCCATTGGTATTTTAACCCTAGGCCCTTTGTATATTACTTAGGTGGGTCCAGTTTAGGCATTACTACTATAAATAATTCAGGTAATAAATAATGTTGGCTTGACTGGGATGATGGAAGCAAACATGTGTGAAGTGATCAAATTTTAGATGCTTTCTGGAGAATGAATCAAAAGGATTTCCTGACAGTTTGGATTTAAGTATGAAATGGAAAAATCAAAGACAGGTTTCTGATCTGAGCAATCCCAGAAGTGGCAGTTATTCTGTGAGTTGGAGCAGGATCTGGGAGGAGCATCTTGGGGGAAATTTCAGAAGCTTGACTTTTCATTTTAAGTTTGAGGTGTCAGTTTAACTCCATCAGTTTAATACTCAGGGCATTCAGGGGAGAGGTCTGTATATTTAATAGACATTAGGGTTGGGATAGGTAGGGTCTGTATTTGAATCCCAGAAATGAGAGAGAGTCACTCCTTAATTTTGTGCTTTCAATAATAAGGGAGACATGATATAATTAAAAACTGGAGCATTGTTGTGCTACTTCCCTCTCATAACAAAAAAATTGGCATAAAAAAACAAGAAGCCACTTTAAGGCTATGAATTTCCTTAGTGTGGATACCCTTAAAAAGTTCATAATTAGCCACTAATCCTGGATCCTAACCCTAAACCCTTAACTTCAGACTTCCTATAAATGTTTACCACAAACACATGTGGTGTCATAAATCTTCCATATAAATTGCTGCTTCCTTACTGGTCCTCTGTCCAGCTGCCTTTTGCATCATAATGTGGTTTTCTCTTTCATCTTCCTAAATTTGTTGGCTCTTGGTCTCCCAAATCCTTTCAATCCAATAATGGAAAATGCATAAGAAAAAGAGAGCGAGAGCGAGAGCGAGAGCGAGAAAGAGAATATATATACACACACACATACTAAGAGAGAACCAAAACTTCAAGTTTCTGAATGTCTTTGATATCCAATCCTCAAAATGGAAAAGGAAACCTCTAAATGCAAGCATCACTGATTTAACCATGTGGCTTATCTTATTCTTCCTCTGACAAATACAGGAAAGCCTTCACTAAGCAATATTACAGTCTAAATAGAGAAAAACTGCTGAAGGAAGGGAAAACGTCAAGAGTGAACTTACCCCTGCCTCCCACGTAGTCCTCAGAGATAAGAAATTAACACAATGTTTCTAAAATGGGCATCCTACACCAGGCTGTTTCACAGGACGTTATTTGATGAGTCCTATACTCAAAGTAAAAATGGGATTCTTGGATAAAACAAGTTATATTTATTTTCTGTGGGAATGTCAGGGTACACTAACTTGCTTTATGAATTTCCAAGAGGGAGATACAGGAGATAGCATTTCCAACATTTGTTTGATGCAGAACCAACTTTTTTCCCGGTAACTCCAGAAATGGCTTTCCTCTAAACACATATTTGAGATTCTCATATATAGAGAGAGAGAAGTTGAAAAATGAATGATGCTTGTCAAATTCTATCTGTCTGGTAGAACAAAACCAGAAAATTCCCCAGTTTCCCATCACCCATTTCCTGAGTTGACTGGCCAACATTAGCAAATCTTCCTAACTACACGCCTTCTTCAACCAATTCCCACTTAGATTCAATAAACTCACTTCTTCAAATATGAGGCTGTTGAATTATTCTATATTCGCAGTTATTAAATACTCTCATTGCAGTAAATTCCCAAATACCTACCTGTTCCAACAGTGTTATCACTGAATAACAGGAATTACTTATGGAGATGATGACCATGAATCCAAAGAATTTATCCAAATGGAATGTTGTTTCATGAAGAAAGGGCTCGGTCATGATCCACAGTGTTTCCCCGAAAATAAGACATCCTCCGAAAATAAGACCTAGCGCATGGAAAGATAAGACATCCCCTGAAAATAAGACCTAGCGCAACATATGGGAGAAAAAATTAATATAATACACTGTCTTATTTTCGGGGAAACAGGGTACTTTTACTCTTGAGTCTTTGGGGGACATTCAGTTCTTCGAAGCACAATAATTTGATGAATAGCTAGGTCTTTGTTATAACTGAATTTAACAATACCTTTATTAAGTTTCTTTTTATGTTTTACCCAACGCATATGTCCATATAAAACAGGTGTTTTATGAGCAAATCTTTACACACTGGTTAATTTTAAAGATATTTTAGTTAGTCATTAACATTCTTTCTGTGTATTCTTCCAGAATTAATCTAGTATAGGAAGAATTCCATTTGGTTGGAAGGCAACCCTCCTAACAGAATTGGAAACTTTTGAGTGATACCTGCCCACCATGATATATCAGCTATGTGCCTCACATTCATACAGAAAATAGTTACACACATTTGTATGAGATATAGAAGATATTTACAATTTATTAATTATAAATCACATTTATATTTTTGTATACAATATTAATTACTCAAATGGCTTGAGAAATGCCTTATAATCAAATGGGAAAAAAACTATCTACTACATTAACAGACATATGCTCTCAAATACAGATAGATAATTATTGCTTTAAAACATGATTCCTTAAAATAGCCATAGCAATTGACACTAAGTGACATCATTTTTTCTGTATTATTTTTATAGTCATGAAAAAATAATGAAAGTTATTTTTTTCCAATAGCACTATTCTCTGTTACTTGACTTATTTCACTAACTCCAAACTACAGTGTTAAGACACAAGTTTATGGTAAAATTCCAGGCATTTCCTCTGGGTATAAAAGGAACCCAGTGAAAATGCTGTCATCCTCAGCGCTGACATACACTCCATTCCAATCTTTGGAAACTTCCAGCCAGACTTGGTCCCCTGCACTTAATCTCAGGATGATGAGGAGAGAGGCCTGGTCTATTTCATGACCGTAGAGTGTTTCTCTGGACTTGAACTGCTTCTTATTCCAGGCTACCAGGCTGATCCGAGCGGGCCGGCCACTCACCGTGACGTGGTAGGAAAACACATATGCCCCAGGAATACTACAGTTAAACTTCCCGGTGACAGGGCTGTAATTCCCTTGGTCGTTATAGAAAACCTTGTCAAATTTGATAGGGACATTGGGAGGAGGGAAAGGCTTTGACAAAGCAGCACTGAAAGCTGATCGTGGGACTCTGCTCATCTCGCCCTTGGAGCCTTTGAGGCCCCGAGAGCCCTTCTTCCCAATAGATCCTCGGACCCCTTTGCTCCCAAGCTCACCCTTTGGCCCCGCAGGTCCCACCAGACCGGGAGGACCTGCAGCTCCCTTTTCTCCTTTAGCCCCCGGGTCACCTCGGGCCCCAGGTAGGCCCCCTGGGCCACTTCTGCCTTGCATCCCAATATCGCCTTTGCTACCTTTTTCTCCTTTCAGCCCCACCTCACCTTTTTCCCCCTTTCCTCCCCTCTCCCCAGAGATTCCACAGTAGCCCTTCTCTCCCCGGTCCCCCTTCTCTCCCTTGGCCCCAGGCTCTCCATTCAATCCTGGAGAGCCCACAGCCCCTCGGTCTCCTTTATCTCCTTTGGTAGCATTGACAGACGTGTCCCCCTTGGAGCCTTTTTGTCCTTTTACTCCCGCCAGCCCAGTGTCTCCTTTGGCCCCTTTAGGACCAAGTCCACCTGAAATAAAAAATTAAAATGATGTTTACAGTCACATGTGCTATGAACAATATGCTATTATCACAGAGCTCATAAAATAAAAACATATCCTACTACTTGGGATTGGAAACCTTGCTCTTAAAAATATATATATATATATATATATATATATATATATATATATATATATATATAGTTGTTGATGTTTATTTAAGATCCAGGTGTATGTATATATATATATGAATTTTATTGAATTCAGAGAAGAAGGGAGAGGGAGAGAGAGATAGAAACATCAATGATGAGAGAGAATCATTGATTGGCTGCCTCCTGCCACACCCCACACTGGGGATTGATCCCACAACCCAGGCAGGTGCCCTGACCAGGAATCGAACCGTGACCTCCTGGTTCATAGGTTGAAGCTCAACCACTGAGCCATGCCAGCCAGGCTGGAAACCTGGCTCTTGCCTCAGTAATGGTTGTGGGAGGAGACCTTGAATAGAGCCATTCACATCAGCACCTGTCTCATAAGGAGAAGAGTTTGTGCTACCAAGAAATATTAGCTTGTATTTTGACCTAATGTTTCTAGTTCTATTTATTTATTTTTCTTACTCTTAAGACAATAAAGAGTAGTAAAACTATAGTTGCTCTTCTTTTTCATTATAGCTTGCATTTTGGCCCAACCCAAGTATTCTCTTACATTTCCATATTCTCCATCCAAACCCAAACCTTTCAGGCAAAGAAACTAAGACCCAGAAAGGAGCAGGAATCTTTCCCCATAGACAGCTAGAAAGAAGAACAGAGCTCAGATGCCCTAATCTAGTCTCCAAATTCCTAGCCCAGCACTCACACTCCAACGTACCAAAACACTGAATTATTAGAAGACACATAGCAATTCATATTTCCTTCTTACATCCTGGTAACTTGGAATACAAACAGGAAGAAAATCAAGGACTACACTTCACACATGATAGTTTGTTCTCTACAACAGGAATATTTATACTCTACCTGGTTCTCCAGGTTTTCCTGGGTATCCTGGAACGCCACTTGTTCCCTGGTCCCCACGTTCTCCCTTAAGTCCTAAAATGATGCCAAGATTAACTTTCTTCCAATTATATTAGTTATGATAAAACTAACACCCATTTCACAGTCATCTCACATTCCGATGTTTCCTTTACCAAAATTGTAAAAGCAAAACAATATGGTTGGGGCAATGAACACACAATACACTATATGGATGCTGTATTATAGAATTGTACACTGAAACCCACATAATTGTATTAACCAACGTCACCCAATAAACTCAATAAAAATACTAAAGAAATAAAGCAAAAACAATATAGAAAAGGTTATTGGGCATCATTAGCAATGTTTTATTCCAATTGATGGTAAATCTTTTAAAGCAGATTTGGGGGTAGTGCCAATCTCTCCAAACATAACTCAGCTTTTCCATCAGTGATCCCACAACTCTTCAAATCTTTCACAAAACTCGTTAACATGAAGTCTTTTGTTACAGATGTACATGTTTGTTTCTTTCCTGTTATGAATTTTGAATGACAATTAAAATGTCCTCCTCTTCATATTCCTCACAATGCCTGAGAAAGTATACTATGCAGAGTTTAACCCAGAGCACAACATTATTCTTTTGGCTACAATTCATCATAGCAAAACCCGTTCATCCCAGCCGGGCTTGGCTTATGGTTGAACATCGACCTGTGAACCAGGGAGTCAAAGTTCGATTCCCTGTCAGAGGACATGCCTGAGTTTCAGGCTCAATCCCAATAGGAGGTGTATCAGTGGCAGCCAATCAATGATTCTCATCATTGATGTTTCTATCACTCGCTCTCTCTCTCCCTCTCCCTTCCTCTTGAAATCAATAATATGAATATATTAAAAAAAAAAAAAAAAAAAAAAAAACCTGGCCAGGGGAAAATATACTATCCTTGACATAGAGCATCAAAAAAAGCCAATTTTTTACTTTATTAAGAAATTTTTTTTGTATTCTACTCTTTGGACAAATTATAGACCTGTGAGAACTCACATTTGAAGAAAAATTGAATCTGGGTTTTTAGATATTTGTCATATTGCCACAAAATTGACTTTTATCCTGGGCCTGGCTGAAGCCCAGTCCTATTGGAGCTGCCATACTAGAATTATTTTCATTGCAAATGAGAAGAGCAACAATAATAGTAAGAATGACAGCTGACTCTCATCTACTTTGCACCAGGTAATGTTCCAAGCTCTTAACATGATTTTATAATTTAATCTAGCCTTTAAAATTTAATGTTAATTTTTATTTGATAATAATACAGTCATATAATAGGGGGGATTATATAATAGAGCTTATTTCCCCATTTAGGACACTTTTCATTTAAGAAAGTTTATAGCACCTCCCTTTAAAAACTGTAGGACAGATATTTTTGTCACCACTTTTGTCATAGAAGAAACTGAGGTACAAAAAAGTTTAGAAATGTGTACAGAGTCAAACCTGAATGCATATTACATTGGTTGACATTGATTTACCAATCACATTATTTATATAAAACTAACATTTGTTGTTTCATTTTTGTCAGGAAAAAAATAGCCCAACTCAAATTAAAAGTCATGAGAGGAGTGCCCTCAAATTTCACAAGAGCAACTGCAGAAATCCCACCATAAGCCGTTCAGCAGAGCTTTCTAAGCAGCCATCTCCTCCATTACCATTCCACATAAAACTTAAAGCATGGAAATTAACCCTTCGGCCATCAGGAAAATGTGTCTGCATTTGGAAAGAACCCAAACCTGAATGGATGTGAAGGGCCACTTCTGTTTCCGGTCCTTGTCAATACTCATCTATTGAGCCTTATTACAGTTATTCTGGCTCTCAGGTTCACTTAGGGATTCTAACTACTTAACACTGGTTTCACTCACTTAGGGTGTGATGAGCCAGAATGCAGTCGTTCAAGCTATTTATTTCCTTTCAACTCTAGCCCTTAACTAAGAGTCTAGACTAAGTCAGGAAGTAAAAGGGAAGTGGAGTTGCCATGCTATCGACTGGCTGAATGAATTTCTACTTTTGATCCTTCATCAAAGCATATTCTTAAGAACCTTATCTTATGATACCTCCCTGTTTTTTCTCTCTTCTACTTCCAGAAGTCTAGCTTCCAAAATGCATGAATCACGGGGGAGGTTCATAACTCATCTTTATTTCACAGGGCTTTCTGCTAACATAATTCAGCCACAAAGGGATTAAATGTTTCTGAGAATGAAAATCGCCTGATAAGTGTGAAGCAGCTCCCTTTTACCTTAGCCTCTTTTCTGAGTAATTACTTCACTGAACATTCTACTAGAAATGAGTTAGGCACTTCCTGAGCCATGGGGAGGGTGATGTATAGATGATATTAGGTCTGATGACATGTGACACTGAGGCTAAAACATTTACCTTGATGGATAGATGGTATTTCTACAGGCTGGCGGTATTCACTGAGGAATTTCTAAGTATCCCAGTGAATATGTAACCTTCCCCCAATACCTGATGCACTTAGAGACCCAAGGATTTTCCAGGAAGGACACCTTCTTTACTGATATCTGTGGAATTACAGAATTTCTGAGCTGGAAAAGATTTATGAAAGCACACTTAACTACAAATCTATTTTGAAAGTAAACAGGGTATAAATAGATATCTAGTCTATTCCCCTCAATTTCCAGATGAGGTAAAGTTATGAGGTCACTGTTATGTGGTTGATTTCTTCCATTTGAATTCAGTTCTCTTCCCACCATTGACACTGCCCTGATTTGAGTGTGAGCCAAAGGATAGGTCATATTCTCCTTAGCAGGCATGCTACCCGCCTAAATGGAATAGGACTACCTGCTCCAGTTAGTTCTATCTCATATGAAATTATTTTGCATCCTGAGAAAGCGTTCACGTGAGAATATATCGGGAAAGACCCTTCCCCAGAGATGATGTCACGTCACTGGGTCAGCTAGGAGGCCCATGAGAGAGAGAAAATTTTGTGTGTGTGTATGTGGGTGTGTGTGTGTGTGTGTGTGTGTGTGAGAGAGAGAGAGAGAGAGAGAGAGAGAGAGAGAGAGAGAGAGAGAGAGAGAGAGAGAGATGTTACCAGGCAAGTTTAAAATTTCTCAACTGGCTATTTATAAAGTTGACATTTTTGTATCAAATATAACTCACAATATGCTTAAACAAATTTGACCCACCTGCAAGAATCTGGTATTTACTTAGTAAACTGCTGTCCTAAAAATGATGCAGAACTTCCCTTGAGTTTTGACATGAAATGAATATAATTACCTACCCTTCTCTCCTTTCTGGCCTTTTGGACCTTGGGGTCCAATGACTCCTGGTGACCCTGGGATCCCCATATCACCAGTCTTTCCCTTAGGACCTGGAAAAGAGAATTTAAAATCATCAAGATAAAAATAAAAAGAATTCTCTTTCAAAATTCATTAGTTCCCGGGGGGGGGGGGGGGGGGGGGGAATCAGTCATCATATTAAGACTAGTGACTATCACTGTCCTAATGATAAAATCTGGATGAGAATAACTAGTAGAGAATCCTAAGGACAATATTTGTGTCTCATTTACAATTCTGTACTACCTGAATAAATTGAGCACATTAGTACTTGTCACTGGATTTGCTGCAGAGTTCTAATAATTCAGGAAATAATTCTATATCAAACAACAAGAACAGAATGATTATTTGACTCTTGACCTCACATGAACCACACTTTCAGATTTTGAGTGAAACCACAATACCTAGCACTTTGAGTTTTCCCCGCTCATTCACTTACCCATTTACTCAGGAACTATTGCTAAGGCTTCCTATAAACCAAGCACCCCAGTTAGGGGTAAAAATCAAACCTCAACATTCCAGGAGCCCCTAGAACAAACTGATGGTTCGGGGGGGGGGGGGGATTGAGAAATGGGCAAAAGGGAAGGAAATTAAAAAGCACAAACTTTCAGAGGATGTGATGTACAGCTAAAAACATATACTCAATAATATCATAATTATGTACAATATCAGATGGTTACTAGACTTCATAAGATGTATAAATATTGAGTCACTGTTGAAACTTCATAATATAATATTACATGGCAACTATAATTTTTTTAAAGATTCATACAAAGACTTTTAAAATGTTCCAGCGATCCCTACTCTTATGGAGCTGAGAGTCCATGAAAGATAAACATTAAACAAATAACCACACAAATAAATAAAAATTGCTACCCTGTCGTTAGTAATATAAAAATATCAGAGAAGACATCCTTAAGAAGATGGCATAAGCTAAGACCCAATGAACAAGTGAGAATTTGAGTAGGTCTGTTTTTATTTTCAAGTTTATTTAATGGTGCTCTTACACTGGATTTCTAACTTTTTTAAAAAGTTGTGTTTTTTAAAAACATTGATAAAGGCAAAATAAACATCTCTCTAGTAATCTCAAAAACAGGAACTTTCATGAGGTAGAATAAGACTCCTCGATCAGCTAACTGAAAAAGTAAATCCTTATTGAGCACTTATTCTATTCTAGGCACCACAGTGAGTCCTCGTAGGTATAAACTCTTTCAGTTGTCCTGATGACTCTCTGTGGTTGGGATTATTTTTATCTCATTTTACTATTTTGAAAACTGAGACTTACAGAAGTAATGAAGTTTCCCCAATGGCCCTCTGCTCTTTGCAGAACAAGTCAGACAAAGACACATGAGCATTCTGGGAAAACTAATGACTTGGCATACCTTTGGAATACTGAATACTTGTCATATGTGTTTACAGGAGGGGCTGAGCTCTGAGAGAAACGCAGCTACATCCACCCCTCGGTAAAACGCAAGCCTTGATGATATAGACCCACAGCATAGAAGACTGTTTAGCCACAAGCTGTGTTTACTTGGGCATGCCCTTGGGGTTTGCACTCCAGAGAAGCTTGCCAACCAGACATGATACTAAGAAAAATTCTGGTAAATATAATTTTCTCCGTCTCATTATGTTTCCAATAATGTTTTAGCAACCCTGAACTCTTGGTGCCCCCAACCACTGCCCAGCTCCTTTGCCCTCTCATTTCAGCTCTACATAAATATTACTAAGCACATTTCCCAAAAGGTTCCTACAGCAGATGAAATGAATGAAAAGCCCAACGGGGTTGTGTAAGTCCTGATTTCTTAACTTTAAATTCTTCAAGCAAGATACAACAAAGAGTTATTGTAATTTTTTCCAGGGAATCGTGAATTTGCAATTGGCATGTTGATCTCATTTTTACCTTGAGTTCTCCGCTACGTGACATGTAAAAGCTGAAATACATGACAATAAAACTGAAAGTGTATTCATAATGAATATATGAAAGACATCTGAAATTTTGAAATATGTAATCACGACGTTCAATGAAGAAAATTGCAGGGCAAGAATTGGATGTTGACTCAGAATTTCAATGAGAAGCAATCTGAATCCTGGCTTTATTCTCCACCTCACAGGCATTCCATTTCTAATCCTAACTACAAATAGCACTCCCAAATCCCATCAGGCAACACACCATCTTGAGAGATAACAGAATTTTCATTTTCCCTTTTACATCGGCATTAATGAAAAGATTGTACTGGGCCTGTGTAACTTGAAGAGCTACACACCTGTGCTGGGGCTGGTAGACCTGATCTCTGCTCTAACCACCATTGCCCAATAGAAGTTTCTACAGTGATGGAAATGTAGGTCTGCTGCCCCACAGGTGAACCATTGGCCGCATGTGGCTAGTCTGAGGAACTGAATTTTTCCTTATTTGCTTTTTTAAAATTTATCTTTATTGTTGAAAGTATTACAGATGTCCCCTTTGTTTTTATTTTTTCCACTGATCCCCTCCACCCCACATCAGCCCCTCCCAGACCTTCACCACCCTATTGTCTGTGTCCATGGGCTATGTATATGTGCATATAAGTTTCCCTGTTAATCATTCCCCACCCACCCATCCACCCCACCTTCTTAATTTTAATTTTTATTAATAGCTATGCAGAAGAGTAGGCTACATAGGACCCATTTTCATTTGTCACAAGCTACACCGAGGCCTATCGCCATTTTCATGACAATGGAGAAAAGCAATTCCACCTCCAATCCACCTCTCAGCTCTAAGGATGTACAGGAGAGAAATATTTTTTTCATATATTTTCAAATACCTGGATTTCCAGTCTCTCCAGGTTCTCCTTTCTGCCCAGGTGCAGATGAACAACAATCACAACAATTCAAAAAGAAATCGGCCGTGTCCAGAGTGAAGTTTTCAAAGGGGAAGAGAGAGGCAGTGCCAAAGGGAGAATCTCTGACGGAGGGGTCGGGGGTTGGTCCTGCCATTTCAGCCATTTCTTCTTCTCCTGGAGGTAGGCCACTGGGCAGCTTTAAACCCTTCAGCATCTCTTTTCCTTCGGATTTCTTTGTAAATTTGATATATGGCGTGGTCTTTGCTATTTCATCCATATCAGCAATAGACAAAATAATTAAAATAGCACAAAGCCAAGACAACATCCACATAATTGAGGCTGGAAGAAAGAAGAATAAACTGTATACACAACGTACATTAGAGTAATATAAATTAATGAAAAGTATATAAATATGTACTTATGTGAGAGAAATCTGTATATATACATATATATATATATATGTGAACCATAAGAATGAATAGTATGTACAGTGTTGAATGATATTTTTATGAGTTTTATATGCAAAAGTGTGCTTAAATCACAACAGAATATTTTATTTACTTCACATATTTCTTGTAAGGAACATTTGGCTCAATTCTCCTCTCTGGTTGTTTTCCTTGTATTACATGTTCTAAAATATTGTTCTTAGTCATTCAAATGATCTTGCCAAATAGCAAACATGATCTATAACAAATGTAACATGACTTAATAGCTCAGATACCCTGTGGAAAACAAATATGTGTAATTTCCTGACTGACCTCACTCAGATTTATAGAAATCAAATACATTTGTATTAAAGAAAGATGAAAAATATTGAGCTGAATAGTTTATTCCAGCAAACTCATTTATTTCAAGAAAAAATACAATTGAAATAGTCCTTAAATCTAATAGGGATAATGATCCTGTTGTGAGAGAAAAATTTTAGACTCCGTTGTAATAAATGAAGAGAGCAAGACAGTGAATAAAAGAATCAAATTTAAATATGCGCTATGTTCTTAGATTCTTCACATGTCATTTCTTTTTTCAATTCTTTGCTTTATAATTTGAGAAGCTATTTTTCCTGAAAACTCACATTTGTCTTCGTATTATTTTAATGGGGCAAACAGTGGTTATTCTTATTAGGACTTTTATCACTGCTCAAAGCGATATAAGGTTCCCAATGAAGTGAAATTTTGATAGTTCATAGTATTTCATTCCCCAGCAACTCCCAACATTCCAGTGGCTGCTAATAAGAGATCCAGGGTGACAAAATGAACATTTTTTTTAATTGGAAAAGGAAGTAGTAGTTAGAATAAGTAGTAAAAAGTAAAGAGAATGGAAATAAAAATAGTAATAACACCTACTACTTGATGAGCCCCTACTGTGAGTACAGTCCAATCAGTTTTCAGCATAGCTCTGCCACGTAGATGACACATTATCATTCTCCTTCACGGAGGAGGAAAGTGGCACCAAGAGGTTACAGACCTTGTTCAAGATTACACAACCAGGAAGTTACAAATTCAGAACTTAAATCCAGGTCTTTTAAATTCCAAAGCCTCAACCCTTCCCCATAAATCATGTAGTATTTATAAGGGTGAAATTAAAAAACAGTAAATCTAAGGGTAGGATCAGTGGAAGAGCTCTGGAGAAGACCCATATAAATCAGAAAAGATGAGAAAGGACAAAGGTAGAATACGGCATTTCTAAAATCATACGAAAAATCCCAAAATGCTAACTTTTCTTCAACCAATCTTTACTGAATATTAACAATGCCACAAGCATTGGGAAATTATATGTGGTCTCTGTCAGGGAGTTTACAAGTTAGTAGGAAAGAAGATAAACAACACAAGCAAAGAAGGAAGTATGAAGGGCAGATGATCACATTGCATCCCTCACTGTCCTCACCCTGGCAAGGAAACGTGGTTATTGTGCATCAGCCAGCCAGACTAAGCCCCAACAAAAACCAGACAACAGAAATATTCTGTTTCAGTATAAAATAACTACCTAGTTAACTTTCATTAGCTCACACAATTGTATTCAATGAAATATTCATTTGTTCCACAAACATTTATTTGAGCATCTAAGAAGTGCCAGGTCCTGTGCTGGATCATCGAATATAAAGAAAAGTATAACCAGGCCCAATCTCTAAGGATCCTATCTGCAGTAACCATCAAAATAAAGCAAATATTCAAAATGCAAACTACCCAGAGTGAAATATTGGTAACTTTTAACTCCTTACCATTTAGCTGTAAGAATTCGAGTTTACAAAATGCCGATTCTTTTTTTTTAAAAATATATTTTATTGATTTTTTTACAGAGAGGAAGGGAGAGAGATAGAGAGCTAGAAACGTCGATGAGAGAGAAACATCGACCAGTTGTCTCTTGCACACCCCCTACTGGGGATGTGCCCGCAACCAAGGTACATGCCCTTGACCGGAATCGAACCCGGGACCTTTCAGTCCGCAGACCGCTGAGCCAAACCAGTTTTGGCCAAAATGCCGATTCTTAATGCTCTATGACATTGCTTTTATTCTCTTAAACCAGTGGTTGGCAAATTCATTAGTCAACAGAGCCAAATATCAACAGTATAACGATCGAAATTTCTTTTGAGAGCCAAATTTTTTAAACTTAAACTTCTTCTAACGCCACTTCTTCAAAATAGACTTGCCCAGGCCATGGTATTTGTGGAAGAGCCACACTCAAGGGACCAAAGAGCCACATGTGGCTTACAAGCCACAGTTTGCCGACCACGGTCTTAAACAAATGAGGTTACGCAAAAACATATCTCTGCTATTAGTCTACGCATACAAAGTATTTTTGATCCTAAAAATACGTTGTGATAGCCTCTTGGTAAACCAGTCCTAAGGTGGCAAATGAGAGTTAGACTTTGGAACAAAAAGAGAAAGGAAACTAATATAGAGAACACAGTAAGCATTGTGCAAGTATTATAATGCAATTACATTACATTGAACTATGCAAAGTAAGATTTACTTTGCCCATATAATAGATTATAAAACTGAGGCACAGAGGAATTAAGTAGCTTGCACAAGATCACAGAATTAGTAAGCAGTGGAGCTGGGATTAAAACCTAGATCCCTTTAACTCTAAAGTCAGCCCATGAACATCCCACATGCTGCCTGGGGATTCAGGAGTGATAAGAGATGCTAAAGAATGAACTGAGTTGGATGCATCGTGTTGCTCAACTCTAAATCCTTCTATTGGAGAAAGTGGTTTCCACAGACAGGAAGCAAGAGTGTAAAAATGGAAGACATGAATAAGAGAAGAGATGAGAAGTCTGATTCTGACTTATTTTGACAGTAGAACATACAGACATGGTTATAGGAAACTTAGCACATCCGACAGGAGAGTGGAGGGCTACAGGAAGGAATAAACAGAACTCACCTATATGAAGAAAGTGTTCAGCATCACTATTGGGGGTGTGCTTTGTCCTCGTACATGTCTTCCTTAACCTGAGGCTTCCTGCTTCGAGTTTAAATAAAGATGTTAAAGGATAATGTAGTCAGTACTTTAAGGTAATGAAGGGGCTCCCCAAGAATTTGGAGATGAGGATAGCATGAAGCCCTTTAAAAAATAGTGGAGCAAATCTTGACAGCAACCTGACTGACAGTGCATATATATCATTAATTTTTAATTGAAAAAATTTTTCACATTTGTGTAAAAACATAGACAAAAAGTCCATGACTCAAGCAAGTAAGGACTTATGACCAAATTTTAAGTCGCTAAAACAATAAAACTTAACTCCAATATTAAGTCTGAAGATTAATGCAGGTATAAATCTTAACAGAGGTGTTAGAAGTGAAGAACTAAAAGGAAGTTTAGGTCCATAATCAACCTAAATGCAGTAAGCCCTTTTAGTCATTCTGAAGGTTGCCTATACTTGTAAGTATTTAAAGAACAAAGTTAGAACTCTCTTTTTTTTTTTTTTGGGGGGGGGGGTCCATGTTAATAGAATAATATTTGCAAATAATATATCCCATAAACCCATAAAGGTTTACTGATCTAAAATGAAGTAAATTATTGCAATATTGTCTCCAATTTTCCACTCCTACCTGTACTCACATTCTTTGATAGATGGATTTTGCAGTCTTCCACAAAATATATTAGGTCTATACTCCAATCTCTTGACTTGGAGTTCAGATATGTGATTTTGGCCAATAGAAAAAGATGGAAATGAGAGGGTGCCATTTCTAAGCCTAGCTCTCAACTTGCTCTCTGGGACTTTGGCCACTGAGAAGGACACTTGTGGCCAAGCTTACTGGTCCAAAGGAAGATAAAAAACACGTGGAGCAGAACTGTCCCACATAAGCTATCCTACTAAACACAGTCTAGATGAAAGTTCCCAACTGATCCACAAACACATGAGCAAGCCTAGGTTAGACCAGCTGAGGCCAATCTAGACCAAACAACCCTCACCTATTCCACAGACACTTTCCAGTTATCTATTGCTATGTAACAAAGTACCACAAACTCAGTGACTTAAAAATACCTATTTGCTAGCTGGTGTAGCTCAGTGTTTGAGCATCAACCCACGAACCAAGAGGTCACTAGTTTGATTCCTGATCAGAGCACATGCCCAGATTGTGGGCTCGATCCCCAGTAGGAGGCAGCCAATCAATGTTTCTCTCTCATCATTGTTTCTCTCTCTATCCCTCTCCATTCCTCTCTCTCTTAAAAATCAATAAAAATAGCTGAAACCAGTTTTGCTCAGTGAATAGAGCATCAGCCTGTGGATTGAAAGGTCCCAAGTTCAATTCTGGTCAAGGGCACATACCTTGGTTGCGGTCACATCCCCAGAAGGAGGTGTGCAGGAGTCAGCTGATCAATGTTTCTAACTCTCTATCTCTTTCCCTCTCTTTAAGAAATCAATAAAAAAAAATATTTTTTTAAAAAATCAATAAAACATATTTTAAAAAAATAATAATCATTTCATCACAGCTCATGGTTTCATGGTCAGGAATCTGCTCCTGGATCAGTTAGGTTATTTTTCTGTCCATGAGGCATCAACTAGGGTCACTCAGCAATGTTCAGCTGTGCAGTGACTGGCAAACTGCAGCTCATGAACCACATGCGGCTCTTTGGCCCCTTGAGTGTGGCTCTTCCACAAAATACCACTTGTAGGTGCGCACATTCTGTGTGATTAAAACTTCATGGCCCATGCTCAGAAGTCGGTTTTCGGCTCTCAAAAGAAATTTCAATCATTGTACTGTTGATATTTGGCTCTGTTGACTAATGAGTTTGCCAACCACTGAGCTGGTACATGGGCTAGTCTGGGAGGCTTAACTACAGATCCACTGCCTTGGAAGAAATGGAAAACCCTGGGCTCATCAATCA